GGAGTCAGAGTGTTCCACTGAGGACAGACATATTACCCACTCAAGTTCTCTCCCTCCTGGGAACTGGATGCCATACAGAAATGATCCAGTAACAGGACTGCAGAGATACAGCCCAATGACAGTGCCCAGAGGGGCAGAGAGAGCTCTTGCCTTTTGCATCACGGAAGGTGCTTTCCCAGCACATCTCCTCATCATTCCTGGCTCTTTCCCTCAGCTCCATTACCTACCCCTTACCCTTCCAGGTAATTCTGGGGTTGGAAAGGTAGCTCAGTGCTTAAGAGAGCTTGCTGCTCTTGCTAAGGACCTGGGTTGGGTTCCCAACACCCACATAGTGGATCACAATTGCCTATAATTCCAGTTCTAGAGGGACCTACCACCCTCTTCTGGCCTCTTTCACATGCAGGCAAAACATCCATACACATAAAATAAAAATAAATTCTTGAAAAATGTCATTACCATGCCTAAGCCAGCCAGAGTTTGTGTCTATTGCTTGCAGATAATGCCACAGAGCTAATATCATACATAAGATAGGGGGAGGTGGGGGTGGGGGACTCTAGAATAATATATACTAAATGAATAGGAGTAGAAACTGGATGATATGAGATTATGGAGAAAGTCTGATATTGACCAAAAGGCACCAAATTTTCATTATTTCATTCATTATGCAAGATGAATAATTTCTGGATATCTAAAGGACAACATGATGACAATAGCTTGCCATATGTATATTTGGGAGGATGGAACAGAAATTTCCTCACTCAAGCAGGAATATACAATTTCACATAATGTATGCATATACACATATATACCTGCACATAATACATGCATATACACTTGCACATAATGTATGCATATACACATATATACCTGCACATGATGCATGCATATACACGTGATACATGATGCCTGCACACATAATGAATGCACATAATACACAAAGACATATACATACACACATCATGCATGCACACATTGTGTACAATGCACACACATACATGCAGAAACTGTGGGGCTGGTGGATGTGACAATGAATTCAAATATGATAGTTTCACAATGAACACTATGTCAAAGCACTGAGTATATACCTTAAGTGGAGACAACTTCTATCCCATAATTAAAAATAACATTTTATATTACACTTTATGTTTTTCTATTCTTCAGTGTTCCTGCTGTTTTTTTTTTTAATAGAAAAGCACTGATCATTTTCATGAAAGCAGGTAAGATTAAAAGAGGAAAATCTGAATCCTTAAGAAAAATACTCCCACAGGGCTATCCTTTGTTTAGCTGTGTGTGTGTGTGTGTGTGTGTCCACGTGTACTACCTATGTGCCAGAAGTGGGCACTGGATTCCATGGAACTGGAGTTACAGGTGGTTGTAAACAGCTATATGAGTGCTGGGACCTGATCCCAGCTCCATTGCAAGAATGATGAACAATGCTCTTATCCTCTGAGCCATCTCTTCAGGAATATAGCTTTTTTTAAAAAATCATGTTGGAGAGTAGTAACTTTCTATAATTTTTATTGGTGATAACTGACCCCTTGACCTCAAAGTTTCCCTAAATATCTGCTATTGGAGTAACAGTAACTGTCAGATGAAAAAAAAAATCTTATTTCTAACTAGCTATAGGGCTTTTTATTTTTATTTTATTTTATTTTTTAAAAATTTTTTTGGAGACAGGGTTTCTCTGTGTAGCTTTGCACCTTTCCTGGATCTCATTCTGTAGCCTAGGCTGGCCTTGAACTCACAGAGATCCGCCTGGCTCTGCCTCCCGAGTGCTGGGATTAAAGGCGAGCACTACCACCGCCTGGCGTATTTTTATTAAAACAAACAAACAAACAAACAAACAAACAAAAACCCAACTGTGTGTGTATGTGTGTGTTTGTGTGTGTGTATACATGGTATGAGTATATGTCTCTGATGTGTGTGTATGTATGTATGTATGTATGTATATATGTATGTATGTATGGTGCGTTGAATGTGGGAGCATGCCACGCCACACATGTTTGTGGAGGTCAGGGGTTCTCCTGTCTCCGTCTCCCATCCTGCTCTATGAGTCATTAGAAGCATCGGGATTACAGATGAGCGTGCACCACGAGCCCTGCTTCCCACAGGTGCTGGGGATCTGCACTACTTCCTCATGCTCGCATACACACGTGCCTTCCTCACTGAGCCTTTCTCGCCTGTTTCATTTTTGGTTCTGACAGGTCTGGAATATTCAGGCCTAGATAATTTCTCACCAAAACTTCTCTGGAGGCTTCTGTTTCTGGCTAGACCCTGATGTTTCCAAGTCTCAAATTGAAAAGTAATTTTGATTCCACCCCCCTCTCATTGGCCACCAAGACCTGTAGGTTATTGTTTCTTTTCTTTTATTTATTTAGGTTTTTGACACAGGGTTTCTCTGTGTAGCCCTGGCTGTCCTGGAACTCACTCTGTAGGCCAGGCTGGCCTTGAACTCAGAGATCCACCTGCCTCTGCCTCCCGAGTGCTGGGATTAAAGGTGAGCACCACCATCACCCAGTGTTTTTTGTTTTTTTTTTTTAATTTTTGAAGTCAGGGTTTCTTGTGGCTCTGACTGGCCTCAGACAGCTCCTGAGTGCTGGGATTGCAGGCGTGAACCGCCATACCCAGTTTGTGTGGTGCTGGAGGTGGAATTCAGGGTTCTGTCACCCTAAGCAAACAAACTCTGCCAGCTGAGCAGCCCAAGTCCCGTTCATGCTGTCTGAAGGCACAACTCAGACCGAGCTGCCCTTTAGAGCCTCCCACCACCGTGGTGTGGCCCACACCCGAGTCCCCACCCCTGACTCTTTGGTTTCTGGTCTCTCCTCTCTAAAGAGCTTTTCTCAAATATTTCCTGTTGTTATCGCCTCTGTAACGAGCCTGTCCAGTTTTTCTCTCCTTTGTTTACTCATATCCCTGACACATCAATACAACAGCTCACTGTGTGCCTCTGTCTATGACTGTGGTCCAGCAGAGCGCCCCACACTACCACAGTGTCTAGATGCCTCTTCTCACCCTAGAACCGTTTTCATCCCCGTGGGGTAAGTTTGAACTTCACGAGGGCCCCTCATCCTAATCAACCCATGTATCACCCCAGATGATGTTCGTCTCTCTCTCTCTCTCTGGTCTCTAGTTGATCACATCACTGCCCTGATTGGAAATGTCCACCAGTTTCTCCTTCGCAGACATCGAAACACAAACACAGAGCCTGGCCGGTCTAGCATGGTTGGTGGTCAGCAAATTCCTGTTGGCTTTGCTCTTTCTTCTAGTTTGAACCCTGCCGAGAGCAGGCCTATGATCCCAGCGCTCGGGAGGCTGAGGCAGGAGGCTGGACAGTTCAGGTCAGCTGGCCCACAGAAGGAGACCTTGTCTCAGAAAACAAAACTTTTTTTTTTTTTTTTCTGAAACATTTGCCCCAATTGCTCTTCTGTTAATGGTGCCTGAAGCGGTTGCTCCCCTCCTGCATGTGAACACCGGTCTTTCATGAGCCATCAGTATTTTTACCAATGGCTCATGGCATGTCTTCTCAGATTATCAATGCTTTCCTGACAGACATGCCGTCTATATCCTCAGTCTCAGTGAGGGCCATCATGCCCCTTTAATCTCCGAAACTGGAAGACTGGCAGTTATTACTCTAATAATTATTGCTATTATTGTTATTGTTATGATTGTGTGTGTGTGTGTGTGTGTGTGTGTGTGTGTGTGTGTGTGTGTGTGCGCGCGCGCGCGTTTATATGTGTGTGCATGTGTGGGGAGGCCAGAAGTTGACGTTGCGTGTCTTCCTCAATCTCTATCCACTTTATATTTTCAGACAGGGTTTCTCATTGAACCTACAGCTCCCTGATTAGCCTGGACTGGAGGGACCGCAAGCCCCAAGTGTCCTCCTGTCTCCGCCTCCCCAGTGCCGGGATGACAGATGCACACTGTAGCACCTGGAGTTTGGTACTGGGAACCCAGGTCCTCACGCTTGTGTGGCAAGCTCTTGACACACCGATCCACCTCCCTAGCTCCATCATCATTACTTTTGAGATGTGGGCTTCCTATGTAGCTCAGGCTAGCCTCAAAATTGTCAGCCTGCCTCAGTCTCTAGGCAGAAACCATTCTGGACTCCTCTGTTTGAAATCCCCATGGGAAACTGGTAAGACTTAGCAGCATCTGACTTGAGGCATGCCGCTCTGATATAACCTCCCCTTTCTGTGCCACCGCCTGCTCTGGGAACTCATAGACGAAGAGCACCTGTTTCCTCCCTGCTCTTGGCTTCTCACCAGGGTAGCCTGGGTCTCACACTGATGCTCTGGGTCTCACAAGCAAAGTTAGTGCTCGCCGGTCACTCCCCTGCCTAAACACCTCTCATGGCTCACACTGCCTTCAGGGTACAGTTGGAAGACTTCATTTTAAATGAGGCCTGCAGCCTGCTCCAGCCAGCTCCCCTTGTTCCCAGGCTGCATTCCACTTGCCCAGATCTCTGGCTGCCCTTGATTTCTCCTCCAAGCCCCATCTCAGCCCGTCACTGCCACTCAGGCGGGAGATTGACGTTCAGTCAGTTATGTCTGTTTCCCTCCCCAGACTTTGGCAGCCAGGTGCTGCTTGGTAGCCCCTGGTGTCTGTCACAGAGCCTGGCACAAAGGAGGCGCTCTGTGGGCACTGGATGACAGTGAACGCGATGATGCGCAGAGCATCGCTCCGTCATTTAAGTGTTTCTTGTAGAATCACAAAATCTAGGGCTCTGACAAGCAGGCTGGAAGCAGAAGCTCCCCCCCTTCCCCATACCCCTGCTTCGTGTGATAGGATGCACGTGCACCTTCGTTATAACACTGCTTTTCACCCATTTAAGGCTGGTCCTTATGCTGAAAATTATCGGCTTTCTTTTATCGGAGGTGACGTCATCCCCTGACACGTTTTGCGTAGGACCCCTGCCTTGTGCGAACGGCTAAGGACATGGGAACGGAATGGAGGAGACAGACCCCCCACTGCCCCTCAGACGGCTTCGGAGTGACAAATACCTCCCGAATGTTCTGCTGTTCCACCTCATGGCGCTTGATCATTATTTTCCGCTTGAAGAAGCGACAGTTTCTGTCATAGTACAGTCTCTGCTGAGTGAGCAGGTGGGCTTCCTCCTCGGCCTGCGTGTGCTGCAGGTTCTCTTTATGCTTCGATATCCGCTCCTGCTTCTCCTTCTTGGGTGTGCTATGGTCCTCGTTCATTTCCTTAAAACGACAACACAAACAGGGGCTGGAGAGATGGCTCAGCGGTGAAGAGCACTGGCTGCTCTCCCAGAGGTCCTGAGTTCAAGTCCCAGCAACCACATGGTGGCTCACAACCATTTATAATGAGATCTGGTGCCCTCTTCTGGCCTGCAGGGATACTTGCAGGCAGAACACTGTATACATAATAAATAAATAAATAAACCTTAAAAAAAAAAAACACCAAAAACCACAAACATATTCAGGCCTATCAAACGGGATGGCACTGAGGACAGGTCAGATCATGGAGATGGTGAGTGTGGATCTCAACCCAGAAAGGCTTTGTGGTACACCCCCCCCCCCACTTGTCTTCTCCCCAATTACTTGAGTGTTAAGTGAGGGGGTACTTGAGTTTGCCTCCATCTGTCTTCTCACGCTCAGAGATCGTGTATTCAGTCATCAGCCATTGACTCTAAGCCCTGACCACAGGGTTAGTAGGTGGCAGGTGACCAAGGGATCCTGGCACCTCGACACTCGAGGGCTGGACAACCCAGAGTCCAAACCGGATTTCAGAGCCGTGGAAAGGAATGAGATGACTGTCAAAAACCTGCCTTCGAGGGAAGGACCGGCGTCCTCCAAGAGGATTTGGTGGAAAGCATTTGACCTCACTAACAGCTATGTGGACATCGGAAGGGATGGACGGGAGGTAAGTAGGGGACGGAGGCTGATGGAGGGAACAGCATGGGAAAAACTCTTGCATGGGGTGGAACTAATTCGGTCAAGAAGTGACGGGAGGCAATGGCCTGTGGGGTCTCACGGGCCACGAGGCCGGTCGGCCCAGGGACGTGTAGACCAAGTTCAGATTGGTGTTTTACTCAGTTCTAGGGACTGAGCCCAGGGACTCAGACATGCTGGGCAAGCACTCTACCCGTGAGCTACATCCCAAGCCCACCCAGGACCTTGGGTCTGGGAAAACGGCTGTTCTGTATGTGGGAGTTGCCGTCATGAGGAAGTGGATGCTGGCTGCCGTGTGGAGAGGCAGGACCAGGACCAGCTGTGCAGGCAGCTGGGAGTCTCCCGGGAAGGTCAGGCTGGGGGACACAGAGTGGCTTAGAATGAGGAGGAGGTAGAAGAGGCTTAAAGAGAAGTCGATGGGTTTCCGAGTTAGGAAGGGACTCTGCAGATGTGGTTAAGTTCCAGGACAAAAAGAATTGTGCTTCATCTGGGATCAGAGAATGAGGAAACCATGCATAGGAAATCTCCACTCTGGCTTCCCAGGATACATGGGCAACGTGAAGAGGGCTGCCTACCGCAAGATCTGGGATGCTAGCCTGGAGAGGGCAAGAGGACACTTCTGGAGAACATACAGAGTACCGACCTTCGTTCATACCAACGAGCTTGACCTAGGTTTGGTTAACCCTCCTCACACATCCGAAACCACTTGCTTTTCTTAATGATTGTCAAAACCCACCATTACTTAGGTTAGTTTTGCCCTCCGCCACCGATAAGTCCTTGTAAATCAGAGAGCCTGCGACAGACAGGCTGAATGATGTCTCTTTATGCCACGACGTCACCCCGAGGTTCGAGGTTCGGTGTGAGCCCCACGTTTGCATGTCTGAGCTCAAATGTGACCATAAACAGTCACTCCAAAATCAAGACTGGATTATTAATGTCCTTCCCATACCGCTCTGGTTGGTCCACACGTGAAATTCTAGAGGTATCTGAACACATGCAATGAGCATGCTCTACTCATAAGTGGCCGAGGCCACCTCAGGTTGACTTTGGACCTGCTTCTCTCCAGGAAAAGGCCCAAACCTTTTACATTATCTAAGTCTGGTGACCCAAAGCTAACCCGAGGACTGGGTTGGGAGTGGGACAGGACTCCGGGATAGATGTTTGGTGGGGAATCTTTTAAAGGTATCTCAGTCGCCCCCCAACATCCTGGTGTTGCAAATGCCCGAGATGGGCAGTCATACTTGTAGAGGGTGGCCTCGAGAGCAGGAACAAATACGTAGAGTTTATAAAGGAGAAAGTATTTGGAGTTGAGGGAAATAGCAAAATTTCCTATTGAAAAAAAAAAAAAATCAAAGTGACCTCCAAGATCCAGCAAGATCTTGCCACCACAAAAGAAAAATACAAACGAAAAGCTGAAGAAAATGCGGGAACCTTTTCTTCCCTGGGCTATTTCTATTTCCTCTCTGGTTTTCAGGACTCAGAGAGTCAGAGACCCCCAGCATTCAGACAGTGTGGATCAGCAGCAACGTCTTAGCTGGGCAGAGCCTGAGATCCTCTGGATGCCCTACCCACCCCCTCGCAGATCCCACACTAGGTCCTGTGCCCGTTACCCGCCAATCAGATGGTGGGCTCTAGCAGAAGACGTCACTAGGGCAGTGCCCCAGGCTGTGCTTTATTAAACCTCGGGGGACGCTCTTAAGTCCATCTGCGCTCTTCGGCCAAATGTTCTGGAATCGTCTAGTCACGTGGCAAATAGACTCACGTATCATACACAGTCTTGGGCAACACCAGACATGCTCTCTGCTTTTATGGTGTTTAGCAGCGAAGTAAGGACTTTGAATAATTAGTAAAAAAAAAAAAAACAAAAACCTCTAGTTTTGTGAAATGGGAGAAGTGTATCTCAGCCGAGGCGGTTAGGAGAGGCCTCTCTGGGGAAATAATATTTGAGTTAAGATTTCAATAATCGATCCTATCTCTTACAAGGAGGAGGAATGAATTGGGCAGAACTGCAGATGGGGTAAAGAAACGCCACGTGTAAGGGCCTCGGGAGGGAGAGCTTGTTACATCTGAGGAACTGAAGGGTATCCTGGGGATGCAGCAGCCTTGAGGAAGCTGGGGTGGGGAAGGGAGGTGAGGGGAGACTGGTGGTTAACCACGTGGGGTCTTCAGAACTTTGACCTTCTCTGAGAACAATGGGAAGATGGTCGGTTTTCCAAGGCCAAGATGGGTTTAAATGGCTTAAATCTATTTCTTTGGCTGATGTGTGGAGAAAGGTTTGGAGAATGGTCCCACATTAGATCAATGATTCCTGAAATGCAGCCCCTCGCTCATCGACATTGGTGTCCCACGGGATTTGTCGGAAAGGTGAGTTTTCAAACTCTACCCCAGGCCTATGAAGACGGGAGGATGGAGGGGTCTGCTGATATTGGCTTTACTAAGCCTTCCGAGGATTCTAATGAGAAGTCAGGGCTGCAGAATTCTAAAGCCGATCCCAGGGCAAGATGGGCCATTTCAAGCTCTTAGCCAGTTCAAAGTGCAGGTGACCTCGGGTGCAGGCATCCTTACCTCTTTTATTTTTTCCTTACAAATCTTGTACTGCTTCTTCTGACTTTCTAAGAAAGTTGTCAAGTCCTTCTTCTGCTGGGCCAGAATCTGCTGCTGGAACTTCTTCTCATCTGCTGCGGCTACCTTCGCCTGAGAGGACGACAGAGGTGGCCGAGGTCAGCCTGAGCTCCCCAGACTCAGCTGTCCATGAGTGCCAGACAATGTCACCCCTGGACAGAGAACAAAAGACTATCTATCTAAAGATATGCCTTCCAAGCCAGGTAGGTTGTGGTGGTGGTGATGGTGCATGCTTTTAATCCCAGGCAGAGGCAGGTGGATCTCTGTGAACTCAAGGCCAGCCTGGTCTACATAGCAAGTTCTAAGACCACCAGGGCTGTTACACAGAGAAACCCTGTCTCCAAAGAAACACAAAAAAGACAATGCCTTCTGTGGCTCTTCTGCATCTTAAAAATACATTCCCAGTGATAGGGGAGATATGAAGGTAGATCAGATATGAAGGTGCCTCTGTGTATGTGTGTGCACATATGTGTGTGGATGCATGTGGACACCAGAGGCCAATCTCAGGTGGTGTTCTATGAGGGCCACACACATTTTTTCTTTATTCACTTACTTTATTTATTTTTATTTATTTATTTATTTATTTATTTATTTATTTATTTATTTATTTATTTATTTATGCAAATGTGGTGTACAAGCATGGGGGGCTGCTTGTGCTTGAGTGTGCACACTCCTGGAGGCCAGAGGAGGACATAGATGTCCTGCTCTATCCCTCTCCACCTTACTGGTTTTGAGCCATGGTCTTGTGCTGAGTCTGAAACTAGACTAGTGCCCAGCGAGCCCCTGTGATCTTCTGGTCTCCATCTCCACCACACTGGAGTTACAGGTGTGCATACAGCCATGCCCATGTAGGGCGCTGGGACCCGAACGCAGGTCCTCATGCTTGCTTGGTAAGTGCTCTTATTTATTGAACCGTCCCTCGCCCCCACCCCACCCCACCCCACCCCATCCCTCTCCCCACCCCACCCCTCACCCCCACCCATCACCTCGGTTTCGGAGACAAGGTCTCCCATTGGTCTGAGGTTTACCACCGATTAGGTTAAGCTGGCTAGCCAGTGGGTCCCACGTATCTGCCTGTCTCCACCTTCCCTCCACCTTTTTGGTAGGTTTACAGGCATGCGACTATGCCTGGCCCATCTTTCCCTCCTAATATTAAACATTTGACAGTAATAAAGACATCATCTTGATTTGTCTTATCATTTTATCTTTTTTTCTTCTTTTTTAATGTGACAAGGCAGCATGATAGAAGCCAGGGAGGCCTTGAATTGGGAATCCTCCTGCCCGGGCACCCAAATCCCCGAGATTACAGGTGCATTCCAACACATCCAGAGAGAAGGCTTTCCAAATTAGTTTAGAGGGCCCGAGAGTGACTCTCGGGTGAGCATGCAAGAAAGCCTTGGTTCCATCCCCAGCACTACCAAAAAATTAACTCAAATAATTACGCTGGCTGAAGACCTGGATGAGGAAGAGAGATCTCTCCTCAGAAAACCCCAATCACAGCCAGCTTAACTTCCTTGTGGCCAGTGGCTGATACAGTAGCGGTCACAAGCAGGGATGGATGTTCCCCACTAAAAGGGCTATTTGAGGAGAACAGGGGTGCGGCCGGCGCAGACGGATCGGAGCTACGCACGGTCCTCAAAGACAGTGGCATTTTGCTTCCCTTGACTGGCTCTCTGGCCACTGTGGAGGGAGCCCTGCTCTGAACACATCCGAGTGAAATCACCTGATAATTTTACCTTCCATGGCAATTTCAGGGAGGACCCCCAACCCAGCAACAGTGCCCCCCTGCTTCTCCCTCCCTCTCCCCGCTGACTCTGCCACTGGTGGAGACTGGCAAGGGCTGGCAGCAACTAAAGGTCCCCCCCCCAATCCCTGCCTCCTGGCCGCCCCCCCCCCAGCACCTGAAGGCGCCCCGCCCCCCCACGCCCCCCACGCCCGGCACACTGACCTCCTTTTCTATGGTAGCCACCTGCTTCTTGGCCAGCTTCTCCAGCTCGATGGACGAGTTGTTGGCATGCGTCTCCACCTCCTTCTGGAGTTTGAGGCGGTGCTCGTCCATCTCAGCCTTCAGCTTGTTCTCCAGGGCGATCAGCTGCTTCTGGTGCTGGCGCCGCATCCGCTTGTAACCTGACATCTGTTCCCGCAACTCGTTCTCCTGCTCATGCTCATGGATCTGCCGTGTGACCTGAGGCAGGGTGGGGGACAGGGCTCGGGTCACCGGGCGGACCAGGGGGTGGGCTTGAGTAGAGTGCCCGGTGACCTCGGCATCCTCACCGGCCTGGGGTGGCCTGGAGCGGGGCGGGGGGTGGG